ATGTCTTCACTTCTTGCATGCCTCCACTTGTTACATGATTTCACTTATTATACACCTCTACTTGATACCTATTTTTACTTGATGTACATCCTTCCACATTTCATGTTCTACACTTCTTTGCTTAGCCAGATTAGGTGACTTTTGGATTGCTTGTGTGTTATGTTTTGTGGAAGCCTTGTAGCTATGGGGTGATGTGTTGCTCTTCTTACTCGGTTTGACTTTATATTTCCTAGTTGAATTTTGCGTGTTTGTATTTTGGATGTTACGTTATGAACTTTCCCGTACATGGTTGTTGTTGAACAATTTTATATGAATGATATACATATGTGTATTGATATTGGGATCGAGTTGTACGCTGCAACAATATTTATAGATATTGGGATCGGATTGCACCCTGCAACAGTATTTAATGATATTAGAATCGGGTTGCTCGTCGCAATAGTGTCTAATAATATCGGGATCGGGTTTCATGCTGCAATAGTGTTTATTGATAGGGACCAGGTTACACGCCGCAACGGTATTTGATAGTGATGTTTGTTTATGATCCTTGTGCGTACTTCTTGATTATTATTTCCTTCGTAGAAATGGTTATGAGGTCATGTATTGTTTGCCATGTCTGTTAATCTATTCCATAGCTCTCCAATTGATACTCTTACCATTATTCGACATGCCTCTTTCCTTGTTTTCCTGTTTATTATCTTCACAGATACATAGTAAGTGAGTGATTTTAACTTAAAACCTCATCACTAATTCACCGAGGTTAGTCAAGATACTTACAGAGTATATGGGGTCGGTTGTACTCACATTGCACTTCTGCACCTTGCGTGCAGATCTTGGAGCTGCGTAGTTGTGAAAGATGAAGCCTTGCATCGAAGACGTACCCGCGTTCCAAATTCAAGCTACCTCTTGATCATGGTAGTTTGGGATTTGAGTTTTGTTTATGTAAACTTCAAACATATATTGTATTTATTCCTCATATCGTTTTTATAAATCTATATCATAATGGTTCATGATTTGTACTATCAGTCCTTGGGGTAGTATTGGATTCGATGGTAGTTTCAATTATATATATTTGGTGATTTCTGAGTTTAGTTGTAATTTAGATTGTTTTTCTTACCTAGTGGGTTGGGTTAGGTACCATCACGACTTAGTGGGATTTGGATCGTGACATGCGAGAGCTAACAAAATAAATTTTAGCGTCGACAAAGAGAAGTATACTAAAAGAGGCATAACATTTTAATACGGTTTGGTCAACTGACCTACATACGGAAAACTAATATATAAAAAAAACGTAAAATCATTCAGATAAAATCTTCCCCAAAAAAACCCTTGTAAGGACTACATTGTGGATTCTATATTATTTTTCTATGAAGGAGAGATCCTCAATTTATAGAGGTCATAATCTTTTTCTCCAAGAAAGATATTTGTCAAATAAGGAAGAGATATATTTTTCTTTAAGGAAAAAGTAAAACAATTATGATCAATATTCTACCCTTCCTTTGAGTAAAAGAATAAATCCAAACAAGGTAAGAAAATCAGGACAAATTCTAATAATTCTCCCATGTGGCCTGAATTTTTTGACAATGCTTGATCCGCCTTCTTCGCGTATTCTTTGTCACTGCTGCTTGGCATAGTTAAAAATAGACATGGACTAAAAATTAGAGCCTCGGGCGTTAAAAGTGAGCACTAGGTTAAAAATATTGAAGCCCTACGTTGAAAGTGAGCAAAGTTAAAAGTAGAGTTCATGCGTTATAAGTAACCAAGTGTTAAAAGTGGAGCCTTGTGTTAAAGTTAGCAAGGTTAAAAGTGGAGCCCATGCATAAAAATAAACATGAGTTAAAAGTTGGAGCCCATTTTTGGGTTAAAAATAATTTTTGCTTTTAAATATACAGCAACATGAATTTTGAAAGTATGGCTGAAATTTACTTCCACATGTAAAACTCTTATTTTTCTTTTGATAAGAATCTTCATTATCATCATATTGGTTGTAGCTTGATCTAGACCTGCCTTGAATCTACTTAGACCTTGCTCTGAACCATGGCCTTTGATACCACTTGGAACAGAAAATAACGAGGCGCCATGCGTAAGCTAACAAAGTAAAACATAGCGACGATAAAGTAGACGATAAAGAGAAGTACACTAAAAGAGGCACAACATTCTAATATGGTCTGGACAACTGACCTTTTTTTGGTGAAGAAAAAATATTACTATTAATCATTCCAACAAACCTTATTACATTGAGTAACTATACATAATCTGGAAATATAGTATTCCTATCTATAATTTCCATAGTCCCACTTTCCTATAGTGCTGTGTTCTATATCTTTTTCCTATACAATTCTTATATTCATTCCCTATCTTTACTGCTTTCTTTCTTGCTGCTATAACTGTCATGTCTTGTTTTGCATTCCTGCTGGATTTGTATACAGATTGCATCGGGTTTAGGCACTCTTTGATGCTATAGTGCTTCGTTCCTTGCCTTCCATTTATAATAGACCAATGCTGCTAATATTGAGTTCACCAGATTCCTGCAGCTTTCTCCCTTGATCCCTCTTGTTAATCTTCTCCATATTCGTTATAGTGTAGTGTTCTATCCAATATTCAACCACTTTACTATAGTCTGCACACAAGCTCTAGAGAATTGGCATTCAAAAAACAGATGCTCAATCGTCTCAGGTGGACTATCATATATTGTACACATTGTGTCTTGTGTAACCCCCATCTTCTGCAGTCTCACTCTTGTTAGTAATCTGCCATGCCCAGCCAGCCAACATAAAAAACTGTATTTAGGAACATTTCCTTTACTCTATACCCACCTACTCCAAGGCCACTTTTTTTTATCTCCCTAGCCTCCATAGGTATCCACTTTTGATACTATACTTGCCATTTTTTGTTAACCACCCTTGGTCTATTTACTCCGGTGCAAACCTGTCTCTCTCTGAACATATTTTCTTCCAGTACCACCAGCAATCTTAGGAGGATTATATTGCCACCAAGAACAATCTTTTAAGTAGATAACGTTTATCTATTTCACCCATAGGTCATCAGCCTTCCTAACTATATTCCAGACATATTTACCTATTGCTGCTTCATTCCACAATACTCAATTTGTGATTCCTAAACCTCCAACATCCTTTGGTCTATATACCAGATCTCATGCTATTAATGGTGCTGTGTTGCTCATCTCCTTCCCATCCCATAAGAAGTTCCCGCATACTGTATTAATCTGTTTCATCACTGTTTTTGGTAATAGGAAGATAGATGCCCAATATGTGTGTACATGCAATAACACTAAGTTGATAAGCTGCACTCTTCTTGCATAAGAGAGGTGCTTTGATCTCCAAGTTTTGATTCTTGTTGTCATCCTATCCACTAACATTTCACAATCAATAGTGTTCAGCTTTTTGGTTGAGATTGGGACCCCCAGATACTTAAATGGTAGCTTTCCTCTTTGATACCCTGTTTGCTCACACAAATCTAGTAAGCTTTGTTGTTCCATATTAGCACTAAAGAGATTAGATTTTCCAGCATTTGTGCAGAGTCCTGATGCCTTTGAAAATATCTGGAGCCCTCTAAGCATTAGCAATACTGACTGATATGTTCCTTTGCAAAACAGTAACACATCATCAGCAAAGCACAAATGCTTCAACTGCAATCCTTTACATTTAGTGTGGAATTCAAAACCTGGCATACTTGCTACCTTCTTGATTATTCTAGAGAAATATTCCATGTATATAACAAATAATAGTGGTCATATAGGATCCCCCTGCCTCGATCCCCTTTTACCGTGAATATTTTCATATAATTCCCAATTCAATGCTATACTGTATTGTGTGGTAGATATGCAATTCATCACCATTTAATGAACTTACTAGGAAAGTTCATAGCATACTACATCTCCTCTACAAAACCCCATTCAACTATGTCATATGCTTTTATTAGATCTATTTTGATCAAACAGCTCTGAGTAGTAGCTTTTCTGTTATATAATCTTACTAAATCTTGGCAGATAAGGATATTCTGCACAATACTCCTATCAGTTACAAATGCACTTTGGTTCTCAGATATAATCTTAGGGAGCACCATTCTTAGTCTGTTGCAAAGCATCTTAGAAACAACTTTGTATATTGTATTACATCATGCTATTGGCCTATAATCACCTACAATAGAAGCATGTGCACTCTTTGGAATAAGAGTAACTATTGTATTATTCCACACTTTGAGAATTTTCCTATTCTTGAAAAATTCCATCACAGCATCCACCACATCCTTACCTACAATTTCCCACCCATCTTTGAAGAACTAACTTCCAAAACCATCTAGTCCTGGTGCCTTATCCCCATTAATGGTCCATAGTGCTTCTTTTACTTCCTTCTCTGTAATGTCTTCTATTAGCATTGTGCTATGTCTGTCTGAGACTGTTGGCCCCTGCCTTACCAATTGACTGCAAACCTGATCTCTTTCCTGTTGTTTAGTTCCCAGCAAACCTTCATAAAATATTATAAATGTCTTAGCTATCTCTTCTAATTCAGTAACATGTATGAGAAAACTAATGTATAAAAAAATATAAAATTATTGAGTAAAATCTCCCTATAAACGAAACTCTTTTAATTACTACATTGTGAATTCTATATTGTATTTTGGTGAAGAAGAGATCTTCTATTTATAGATATCACAACCTTTTTCTCAAAAAAAACAATCTATCAAATATGAAATTTTTTTATATTTTTTTTTAAAAAAAGTAAAATAATTGTGATTAATATTCTACACTTCATTCAAGTAAAACAATAAATCCAATTAAGGAAAGAAAAACATGACAAATTCCTAAAACGTTAACTTAAATTCATCAAATTAAATATTGCTCCCGCTCAAGGTTGTGATAGCACTCGGCAAACTTCAGAATTCCAACGGCTGCCACCTGTACAAACAAGCAACATGTATCAGACACTTGTCTTGGAGTCCCACATAAGACAGCGAAAAAGAGTTTAAAGTAACCCCAACTTACATTATTCCTTGATTCTAATGCTTTAAATCTTCTACTTCTTGTTATACATAAGTGGATTTGGAATTCAATTCTTTCTTAATTATCTGTTGATCACTTTTAACAAGATTCCATGGCTTCTTCCTCCAGCAATATTGATGAAGAGGGTATGCCGTTTTCTTTCTTATTATTTCTTCTTCTTGTGTTTGTAATTTCTGTTTGAATGAGTGACTTCTAGAAATTATGATTCTTGGAATTTGACATGCAGGAATTGAGAAGCAAGAGCCAACCCCTTTGGAAAAGCATGTTATGTTCTTTGATATTAACAAGGATGGTGTTATTTACCCATGGGAAACTTATAAAGGTCTAATGATATTTTTTTCTTTCCTTTTGTTCACATATATAGAAGATTAATTTAGTGTGTTTGATATCTGGCAACTGCAAACACTAGAAAATATTTCTTAAATTAATATTTTTTGTAGTTCCTTTAAAATAGTTGCTAAAATTTGGAATGTGTTTGATATATAGTGATAGAAAATTTCTTGGCTGGAAAACTTTTTCCCACCAGTATTGGAATTTGAATGATGTTATTTGAATTGTGACTTCTTGATTAATAGACTGTCTTTTTCTTTCCGAGGTTTTCTTCTTTTGACGTGTTAATCCCATGTTTTATTTTGTTTTCATTATGTTTTTTGTTATTAGGTTTGTCAGTAATCATTCAACTTTATTATTTGTTTTTATTTTTTGTCAAAATTCTTCCAGGTTTCAGGAAAATTGGAAGTGGCGTTCTCCTCTCAACCGTTGCTTCAATTTTCATTAATATTAGTCTTAGTGGCAAAACTCGACCAGTAATTCACTCTTTCCTTCTCTGTAATTTTTACTTTGAGAGTAAGTCTCCAAAATAGACCAAGTTGATTATCATATATGTCTCTTAGGATCATACTTTTTTCCATGAATGAGTAGTTAGCAATAACAAAATGAGCATGCCCAAAAAGGCGAAGATTGACCAAGTCATTATGATGATTTAAATTATTTACTTTGTAAAATCTATCAGTGTGCACTGGGTTGTTGAGACTTTTGAGCCACTTTATTTTTGATAGATGATCTTAGGGATGCAGTTTGCAGGGGAACAACTCCTTGATAAATATCTTCATATGCTCTTACATACATAATTTGTTGTTAGATGACAAGTAACTTCATAGATTGGGGGTGGGGGGGTGGGGTGTATAATTGTTCATCCTAATAGGAGTATAACCAATTGATTGAGTTTGAGAATAGAGTTTCCGAATCCGTCAGAAATGCTATTATTTCTTAACAAAATACTTACGCAACATAAGTTTTCCTTGGCCGAAAACATAAACCCTTTTGAAGTCTTTCTGAATTTTAATTTGGACAAGAAATTGACTAGAGCTCTACTGTACCAGATTGGGTCATCAAGATGACTTTGTTGTGGAAGTTCATGCTATGCGTGCACTTTAATTAGAAGGGCATAGAAAAGTTGATAGCATTTTCCTATCTTCCATTCTTTTTCTTGTTGCATTCCCAGGTCGTTGCACGCTGATGCGATTCTATCAGCAGATGTAAATGCATCACATCTTACTTTCTTCCGTGTCATTCTTGCCAATGTATTGCTGATAGCTTAGTTTTACATGGTACGCTGGATTCTTCAGTAATTTTGATATCATTTCTAATATGTTTGGAGTTTTCAACTTCGGAGGTTCTCATATCTTCCAGCTAGTTACACACGCACACGCACACGCACACGCACACGCACACGCACACGCACACGCACACGCACACGCACACGCACACGCACACGCACAATAGTGCAAATGCTAAGTGCTCGCGCATGTATCGCAATAATACATTTCCTGAATTAGGAGAAGAGAATGTTTATGTGAAAACATTTTTTGTGCATTTGTTGTGCACAAGACGTGTATTAATGAGTAACAGCTCGTTTTTAGAAAAAAAATGAGGTGCAGACATTGATGGATTCATCATGTATAGGGGAAGTGGCCGTCTCCACTGTTTCCCATTGAAGTGAAGAACATCAAATTTGCCAAGCATGGCAGTGATAGTGATATCTACGACACCGAAGGAAGGTACATTACATTAACCTCTCACGTTGTTGCAACTGTTTATTAATTTATTCCACATTAATCTTGGTATACATTTGCATAATAAGTAGAGCTAGTTGGCTTGAAAATAAGGCAAGCGAAAATGTTACAACCAATTAAATGAAATGACATTGTCACTATAAAATCATGTATACTGTGTGTGTGTAAATGTCAATCTTCATTAGAATGTACACATTTTGAAGGTTCGTTCCTGAAAAATTTGAGGAGTTATTCAAGAAGCATGCACGAACAAATGGCAACGCCTTAACTGCCGGCGAGTTGGATGAACTGCTCAAGGCAAACAAGCAACCGAAGGACTTTGCTGGGCAGTAATACTCTCCTCTCTCTATCTCAAGAATAGAGTTTTACTTAATTAGTTATGGCTAATGATTCTTTTTCTCTTAATTAAATAAAGAAATAAAGATAATTGGATGGATTGTGTGCAGCATTGCTGCTAAATCTGAGTGGAAGGTGCTGTATCTCCTTTGCAAAGATGAACATGGCTTGTTGCCCAAAGACACAGTTAGGAGTGTTTATGACGGTAGCCTTTTTGAACTAATGGCCAAGGCAAAAAAATCCAAGAAACACGGGTAATTACAGTGATTACATTAATTAATTTAGTTCTATTTATTTAATTGTACTGACATTAATTTTTTTCGTTGCAGGGATAAATCAAGTCCTTAAAAGGTGCAACAACTGTTTTCTACTTGTGCGTTTGACAGAACGAGTACACTCTGTATTTATAGAATTATACATATCTGAGAATCAATACCTGTGAATATAGCACTAAAGCTCGTTGAAATCAAGACTTGTTTAGTTCGATATGATATTTATTTATTTCTTTGTGGAAAACAGAAATACAAATTAACTTCTTTTATTCTCCGTTGTGTATTACTTTTTCTTCTTTCGGTTGCTCTACGTGCTTAAGCTAGGCTTGCTCAAATTATAGACATGGTTTTATTTGATGGATTTATTATGCAATAAGCATCATTGGTCTTGCTTTGGCAGGCGTTAGAAGTGGTCGCATTTTGAGATGTCTCCGGCTCCTCTTCATTTTCTGTTGGTGTTTAAATATTAAAGTTGGTTGGATGGATGATACATGTCGGATTTGACTCAAACTCCTATACAGTATCTATCATTTTTGTAAGTGCATGTCTAATTTAATGACATCTGTCATCTTTCATATCTAAGGGTCAATTTATTTGGACTAAATCATGATTAAACTACATTCTCTGGGTTAATTAGTATCAAAATTGGAAAGAGAAATCATCTATCCGAAAATCTTGCTGGGAATTTCATTTTGATTGGGAAATATTTTCTTATCAATGAAACTATTCTTTGGCGCCAGAATGAGAAAAGCAAAAGATTAGACCATTTACAAACTACTACAACAACACAAAAATTGCAAGGAATAAAACGAAATCAGTGGTTGAGCAAAATAAATTCTCCTCTGTGAATTGAGCTTTTATTTTTGCATCAAGGCTATAAATCTGTAACACATATATGTTGGAATTTGTATGTCCAGTACTTCCTAGTGTCACACTTCTTTTTTTTACACGCCACCCCGAAGGACAGTGTATAAGGGAGTTTTTTCACTTTAAGTGGTATTATTCGAAATGAGATCATTTATTTATCAGAATCGCCACTTGGGATAATTTATTTGGTGTCCCAAGTCATCGGTTTATTTTTTGAATCCCAAATCGAGGAAATTTTCGACTTTCCAAGTGAAGTCTACGAACCAGAAATTCTTGAGTAAGGAATTCTGTTAATCCGGGGAAGGTGTTAGCCACCCCCGAATTCCGTGGTTCTAGCACGGTCGCTTAAATTATTATAATTGGCCTGCTACCTGATTTTAATACATGTTTCAAACTATAGTGCACTTTTAAATTATTTACCGCTTTTATTTAATTTTAAGGAGGATTACAACGTTATTAAAACACGCCTCAAACCACGTCACATAAATGCACCCGTAATTTTTGACATATTTTAACATCGTTGAGATTTGGATTTGGGTCACATAAATGTGCACCCGAATTTAGGAAAATAGGTTATTAAAATACGCGCCTAAAGAGACTAACGTGTTGATAACTTTGCGGGAGGCCATGAAAATTCGCTAAATGGCATGTCCCGAGTTCTAAGCATTTTAATAGAAGTAATTAAAGAGGGCCATGCAATTTTGTGATTTTCATTTGGCATGGCGCACCTCAATTTCACTTTTAAAGGATATTTGACTAAAGCTTGAAGGGCCATGGACTATTGTTATCCTTAGTCTAGTAGGCCCTGAAACCATTTTAGAATTCATAATTGACTAAGCAATAGGGTATTTGGGCTAATATTGTTTCTAAATTAAGGCAGGCTAAAAATATGGTTGGGCCTAACGGGGTGACTTGTTTTAGGCAATTTCGTGTTTCAGGCCTCCGAATACATGCAAGAAAGAAAACAATTTTGGGCCTCCGAATACACGATTCAGCAGATCAAGCTGGGTACAAAATTAAGCCCAATAGAGCAAATTCAATTTCGCAGAACTCCTCATGATTTCAGGACCAAATCGATAGGCCCTTCTCCAAGTATACACCTGTTTTAAGCACGTAATAGCAAAGCTGGACCTCTAAGATTTCTATATGGACAAATCATCTATAAATGCTTAACAGGCTTATGAACAATCATGTATTTCTGGGTATTACTTTATCAGAAAACAAATCCTCTAAAATTTGATATGCTTATTTTTCTATATGCTCATTTCTAAACCATTGCATTTAACAACTCGTGAATCCCTAAACTAAAATGAAATACAGCGTAAATGTAGAGTATTACACTGTTATAAATTGTAGGCTAGCTCTTTTAGACTTCACTTTTCAATATGTAAATAATGAGCAAACTAAAGTAAGTAACATATTCAAACTACAGGAGATGCCTGATTTAACATTGGTATATACATGCTGGTTCTGGACTCAGTTTCAAGCTCACACCTTATTCCAAATTTAACATTTAAACTAACATGATAACAAACCTTGAAGACACAAGAATTAAACTATACTAAAGCTAACACTACTAAATAGAATACTCACGAGTCAAACAGTCCAGTTATTACAAATAATACAATGTCTAGATCATATAATTCTCACATTCCAATGGAGCTTAAATTCAGCACTTAAAGTGACATGTATACAAGTAAACTAAGGATACACCAAATTACACCAAGCAAATCCATCACGAATTAAACAACATGAATAAGATTAAACAGGGAAAATGTGTAGCAATTTCATCATTTCTTCAAGCTTGGTCGCATATTTTCTGATTCAAATTTCAAACATCATTTAGAGGCCAAGGAAATACCTGGAAATTAGCACAAAAATAAGAAGATTGAAGGTCAGCTAGGTAGCAGCAAAGTGACAGATTCAGTTTCAGCAAAATCCCAGCAAATCCAAGACAAATTTTAGGAGTAGGATGTAGGAAACCCAAAAATAAGATTCAATCGAACAATGGACCCAGCTGAAATTTAAAACCAGACTTTGATGAACCAGTTTTAATCACCTCTCAAGTAGATGAATCCCAAGTAGTTTCAGAAATTGGAAGGGAATTTAAACTACTGAAAACTTGATGAAAACAGTAGTTTTGGTTGGATTTCTAGCCTATTTTTGTGTTGATTTTCAGGATTTTTTAAGATCTAAAATCTATGTATTTGAGCTCTCAAATTCTGTAGAAATTCTAATCTCTCAAAACATTTCAAAACTCTCAGATCTGAAAACTTCCCTCTCAAACAACTCCCCTTGTAATGCAAGGGACAATGCCTTTAATTGGCAAATCAGTAGGGCAATTCAGATTTATTTTTTTACCCCCTTAGGTCCTTATTAATTTTCATTTTTAGCTTAAAAGATCTTAGGGTCCTGACTTGTTTTCCAAGTTATACTACCCAAAATATGATATTCCACTTAGAACCCCAATCTAGAAGCTTCTAGGGGCTTCTATTTTCAGTTACTGCAAGATTTCCTATTTTAAACTACCTATATTACCCCTGAACCCCTGTTTAATTACCCCTGAAAATCCACCAGTTTATTAGGCCAAACCAAATGGGCCATGGACCCAAATGAAGTACCTACTTGGGCCTAACTATTTCTTGGGCTTCAACTAAAATTAAAACAAATTTTATCAAACAGAGGAACTACGACTAAGTCTGATAGAATCAAATGGGCCAAAAAAAAATAATGAACTGACTAATTCAAATTAACAGTTAATTATGCAATCATACTGCTATTCATATACACAGAACCCTAAAAATGACTACAAATCAAATCGAAAGTAAACAAGAAAATAATAATAAAAAAAACACAGAACCCTAAAATGACTATAAATCAAATCGAAAGTAAACAAGAACAGAGAAATAAAAACAATAAAACAAACACAGAAAAGAAATGTGAAATGAAAATACCTAGAGACTGGCCTAATTAAACCTCGAATCTTAGCAAGCTGCTATGAATCATTTGACTAAAACAGTCCTTAATCATGTGTTTTCATGAGAAAACACATGACTAAGGGTTATTATAGTCAAAATATCAGTAACCCCCTTTAATTTGGATTTTGTGAAATTAGGGTTTTTTCAAAGTTAGATTCGAAGGAAACATGGGTGATTTGGGGGAAATCAACCATGGATTAGGGAAGAGGGGGTGGTGGAGGTGGTTTGGTATCAATTTGGTGGTGTTTGGGTGGTGACGCCGCCACCGGAGGAACAAGGGTGGCGGCTAGGGTTTTGAATTTTTTGGGGAATTCCGGTGCGATTCGAGGGGAGATATTTACAGATCCATGATGAGGAAAGGGAGATGGTGTTATGGTAAAAATTTGGGAGCTATTAGACGATCACCGCCAGCGGAGGCGATTTTCGGCCGGCAGCAGACGGCGGCTCAGGGCGGAATTAGGGTTGGTCTTTGGTGGGGGTTTGTGAGAGAGACGAGGCCTGGGGGGAGGATTGTTTGGACACTTAAATATTAAAACAACCCCACTTCAGGACCGTTGGATCATAAAACCTAGACGGCTAGGATTAATTATAAACAAAACGATGCCGTTTTATGGGGAGGGGTCTGGACCGGCCTGAGTGTAAATTTTGACCGGGTTTGGGCGTTTTGAACGGGTCTCAGGGGTTTAATGCTTGGGCTGGGCATCACAATCCCAAGACTGGCCCAATTTCCCTTTTAGGCTTGCATTTTTTCTTAATTTCTTTTCTTTTAATCCTTTTTCTTTTATTCATTTTTTCCAAATACTAAAACTAGAATTAAACCTAAAAGATTAAGCTAACCTACCTAAGTATCAAAACTTTTAGTAAAAATAACAATTTAAAGAAAACTAATAAAATTCAAATCTAAAATTTAAAACCAAGCAACATATCAATTTTTTTATTTTTGTATTTTTGTAAAAACCCTAATTACTAATTAGTCTAAAAAAATGTAAAATTAAATCCTAAATGCAAATGCAATATTTTTGTATTTTTATGAATTATCCAAAACTAAACATGCACATACAAATGAAAACACACACAAAATTATGCAATTAAATCCTAAAAATCAAATAATTTAAAGAGAAATCCTAAATCTAAAGGGTCTGTACGAGTAATTCAAGCGATGCAAAAATCACGTGCTCACAGCTGCCCCTCTTTGCTCGGAGACACGAAGGGTTTTTGGGCAAAGATAAATGAGCAATTATGAGGGATTTTGCCCGCTTGGCACTCCATGAGAAGCATTTTTGAAAAAAATGTCTGACCGAACCGTGCTTCAGAGATTGCCTACATATCCTTGGCCGTAAAGGAATCAGGTCAGTGTAGTTCTGGAAGTTTTTGTAGCTGGGACTACCAGGACCTGTGATTTCACTGCTGTTGCTGCTGCTACTGCTTGCTGACCTCCTTATTACACCAAAAGGAAAAT